GCTGGGGTCCGGCCCTTCCCCCGTGCCTCAGCCGGGCGGACGCGCCGGGCGGGACTCGGGGCCGTCTCCTCCCCTCGCCTCCCCGGCGCTGGTTTCCGCGGGAACCCTCTTGAGCAGCCTGACACCTGACTAGACCGCAGCAACTGACACCAAACGCGTGTAAGCAGACACAAAACAAAGCGAGTGCGCGGAGGCCGTGCGGAGGGGCCGCCCGCCCGCCCCCAGCGCGTTCCGCGCCGCGCGGGTGCCTTGGACGGTCAGGGGCCCGGGCCGCGGGTCACTGGTTGTGACGTGACTTCCACCCTTGATGGGCCGCTGAGACACTGGTTACAGCCCCTCTGGAGGTGCAGAGTTGGGAAACCTTAGCTCGATAGAAACCTTCCTTTGGGGAGGCAAGTTTTCCATATAAGTTAATTTTTAAAATATTTTTGGGCGGGAAATTTGTAAAGCGCTGCACACGCCCTGGCTGCCTTCGCCGGAATGACGCTGGACAGGCGCACAATGGACAGGCGCACGCTGCACAGGCGCACGCTGCACAGGCGCACAATGGACAGGCGCACGCTGCACAGGCGCACGCTGCACAGGCGCACGCTGCACAGGCGCACGCTGCACAGGCGCACGCTGGACTTGCCTACAGGGGTCTTCGCGCAGGTGAGTCATTGCACCAGCCTCTGGGGCGGTGCTCCCCCAGAAGGGCTGGGGTCGGTACCTGTCCGCATGGACTCAGGCCAAGGTCTTTCCCTTTGTGGACCGCTTTTCAGGTTTTACCACACCCTTGAAGTCAGGCTGTGGCTTCTTACCTCTCCAACGCCCAGTTGCTAAAACCCGCTTCCCATCCCCCAAGAAGAGCTGACCGCAGGACCCTGAGACATGGTGGAATTAGGCTGAATTAAGCTGCCGAGCCCACGTCGGATCCATCAGTGACCCTTGTTTCCACCCTGTAGAATCTAATTTCCGTGTCGGCAGAACCCGTTTTGGTCACTAGTCAGTGCCTAGCACGTAGTAGGTGCACAATGAAAATTTGTTGAATGAGTGCATGCCTTCCCTACAGGCCTGAGTGCTGCAGAGAACTGGGGACTGGAGGAAGGTGCCCTCCGCCTGCCTCCTGGTGGGAACCGGGTGGGGACAGGAGGGCCCTGCACACCTGGCCTTAAAGGAGGCCCGCGGGTGGGGACTGGGTGCTCTCCCACATATGGTTTCTGCTTCTCGGGTTCTGAACTTGACTAACTTTGTGAGATTTTTCTCTTCCTGTTACCTGGCTTCACCTCACCTGTTCCAGTGTTTCAGGCACGTGCCTCAGTCTACACGTGATTCTCATTCTGACTTGTCTGTCTGCTTGACCTTCCCAGCTTCCCCCTAGAATCCATTTCAGGTGCTCTTTTCAGTCACTCGCCCCCACCTGCCTGGCTCTGGGCCCTCAGCAGCACCACACTCCTGTGCCAGACGGGGGCCTTTTCACTCTCATCTGGTTTTCTCCTCTGCTGTGGACCTGGAGGAGCTAAGTTTCTCAGAGTTACGTGAAAATCCAGAGTGAACGGGTAAACATCTGCAATTAAAGATTGTGAGGTTTGGGACATATCTTAAATCTTGCTCCACAGCCTTTTGGCAGCTTCCTAATCCAAACGAGCGTCCTGAATGGCTGGAATAGCGCATTGGTCGGCGGAGACCCAGTGGTACTGTACCTGGGGCTCACCCGCATGCACGTAAATCAACAGAAAGCATGTAAATGTGAATTTTAAAAGAGCTACATGACTTTAGCTTGTATGCATTGGGTACCACTCCCCAGTTTTAACTAACACAGAACATTCATTAAATGCTCATGGTATATAGCATACTGTCTGCCCCAGAAGTAGAAAAATTGGTCTGTTTACTTTCTGAACTATTTGTTCACTTTTTTTAAAAAACACACGTACATTGAGCACTTGCTTTGTGTCTGGCTTTGAGCTGGAGCAGAGGCTACAAAGTTGACTAAGATATGGTCTCTATGGAAAAAAAATTTTAAACTACTTTTCTGTAAAGAGGAGGACTTGAATTCCCTGGGCTCAGTGCTGTTGTAGTGCTTGGGAAGATGCAGCTATAGGGCGTTGTGTCCTGCCCAAGGGATGTACACTCTGTAGGGCTGAGGAATTTGAAATCACTGTGGCATTTGGTCCACCAGCTGCCATTCCCCAGCACCCCTGATTGCCCAAAAATGAATGTCCACCAGACTCATAGCTGCTCATAAATCTCTGGGATTCAGAGTAGGAGGAAATATCTGTAATATAAATATCTGACAAAGCACTCATGTCCTCAATATATAAAGAACTTCTACAAATCAATAACAGAAAGTAACCCAATAGGAAAACAGGCAGAAGACTTGAACAAACCCAACATCAAAATAGATCTCCAACTGACCAATGAGCATATAAAGTGATGCCCAGATTACTCAGCTACACAAAACATCAGGGGAAGGAAGATTAAAACCATAATGTGATACCACCACAGATCCCCGGGATGGGTAAAATCAGAGGGGTAGATAATATGAGGTGTTGGTCAGGATGTGGAGCAACTGGAAATTGTTGCTGGTAGGACCGTGAGTGCAACCACTTAGGTAAACTGTGGGCAGCATCTACCGGCATTAAACCTACGCCTAACCTATGACACCGATCCCACTCCTGTGCATGTAACCAACAGAAACACATCACTCAAGTGACTATATAAGAATATTTGCAGCCACACGATTCATAACAGTCAAAAACAACAACACAGATGCCCATCAATACTACAATAGGTTAAGTTTTTAGATACTCATACAATAAAATATAATTCTGCAATGAGAACTTCGGGGGTGCTGTTGAAGTTCAGTTTCTTGATAGAAGTGTGTTCACTTTGGGAAACTTTGTGATTCGTATCATGTTCCGTATGCATGCTAAACGTCAGTGCGGTTTACCAAAAAAAAGAGGCCATGTCCGTCTTGATCTAAATGATTCTTGAGTCGGCAGCTGTTGTTCGAGGTCGTCAGCCATTTACACTTGAGGTTGATGTGAAACCCCTTGCAAGTGTGGGGACATTTGAATATTTGGAGCCTCTCTTGTTGGGGGTTTTCGTGATAGGGGTGGAACATTTCAGGAGCATCAGTTTGGTCTTTCCTCCGGCTAAAAATGGAAACTGTTGGTGTACAAGGGCTCCTGGGTGTGGTTTTAGGAGGCTTTGTTCTCAGGGTCCTTGGGGGATGTGGGGAGCCACAGAGGCCCTGGGGCCGGCCCCGGGGAGGGCGCTCTTCAGCCCCGCACCCTACAGGAAGGAAGGAGGACCACGTCAGTTCCAACGTGAAGAAAAACTTGACTTCCTCCTCTTTAGACCAGACTCCCCTGGGCTCTTCTCGGGAAGCCGGTGCCAAGGTAGGCTGAGCATCCAGGCACGGCCCTCGGGCAGGCTGTTTGGAGGTGGGGTGGGTAGAGATTACGGTTACGGTAACTTTTCTTAGATTGATGATATTAAGAGGTGGGAAACAAAGACACTAGTAAATTAGACAAAGGATGACTTGTCATTTTGTTGAATAGCATACCTATAAAATGCAGGGTAATAATGATTTAAATGGAATGGAGGAAGTACGTTAGAGTTAGTTATAAACAAAACAAAAACAAAAACACTATCCAAAAGCTATATGGTGTGATTTTTTTTTAAGGTGGTGGGATAGAGTGTTCAGTTTCTTCTTTGGTTTGTGAGTTCTTGTATGTATAGTTTATTACTGTTTTGCTCTGAGTCTGCTGCATAAATTCAGTGTATTCTGATCACCCATAACCTTCAGTTTGGAGGAGGAACAGAAATATAATTTTAAAATAAAAAAATTTAATTAGCTGGGGTGTAATTTAAATTTCTTTCCATTAAGCTTCCTTAACGCCCAGATTTCTTGGTGAGAGGAGAGATTATGAGAGGAACTTGCACATCGGATATTAAGGGTCTATTAAGCTAGAATTGGTGTAGAAAAGGTGACTCCGCCAAGAGAGTGGGAGATTCTTACTTTACTTCTTTGCCTAAACAAAACATAAGGCTTTAGAGTTAAACAGACCCAGATTAAAATGTGACTTCAGGCGAATTATTAGTCACTCCAAGCCTCACTTGTCCCATCTGTAAAATGGGTGTACTTACTCCATAATGTTTGTTGCCTGTTGAAATGAGGATTGGGGTAACATATGCAGAGTACTTGTCACACTGGCCTAGAGTAAGAGCTAAATAAATGACAGCTATTGATACAACAAAAAGTATAATGACAATTACAAGTAGTATCTATAACAATATTATAACATTAATTCTCATTTCTTTACCCTGCCATAAGGAGATGTCAAGTTTCAGCCCTGAAAATCATGGGCTTCCACATTAGTGTTTTACTCTGATTCTGCAGTAGCATCTGGGGGCGGTTTGGGTGCAAGATACCTGCCTGACTGGGAAACAGTTAAGTAGGATCGACAGTGAACTGCAGCGAGCTGTCAGGGTGAAATGTTTGTTCACTTTCTCCCACCTCGAGTAGGTGCTGAGTTTTCTAGATTTAAGCCCACGTACATGCAACTTCATATATAAGTTTTGAGCAACCTGGCCCTTCTCCAGCTTGTGGGGGATTCTTTAAGAAAACATGCAGCCGTGGGTACCGGGCCTTCGATGGGGCCGCGCAGGCGAGGGAGGCCGAGACTGGAGCTCCCTGGTTTTCAGAATGTCCGCCTCCGAATCAGCAACGGGAGAGAAGGGACTCGTGTGGGTTTCAGGGTCAGGCTGTGCGCGGCGGGCGCACACGCGTCATCTCACCTTTGCAAAAGCGAATCTGTGCGCCGTGAGCCTGGGCTCAGCTGGGCGGGAACTGCAGAGACAGAGAGCTGTTCACCATTGGCCTCCTCCCTTCAGGGGACGCGTGGCCCTTTTGGCTGTCACAAAGAATATACGCATGCAAAGAAAGGACGGCATTTTCCGTGGCCCTGTAAGGTCACTTTAGCCACTTGGCTCTTCCCTGTGACAAGGCTGCATTCTGAAGGGCGCAGCTGCTCGAGGAAACGCGTGGTGAAGCCCACAGCGGGAGGTGGCCGCCCCAGTGACCTGCGTCCTGAGGCTGTGGCTTTCGTGGGGCTCCTAGAACATCTGCAGTTTCCCCTGCAAGCCCGGCAGCGATGACGGTCCTGTTTACATTTTCACATGTGCTCACCCAGCAACCTGCCACATTTCCACCCGTCGTGGTGTCACCTCCCTCCCTCC